CAAAGTTTTTAGTAATATAAATTCGCGATAAGTGTTGCTTTACAAACTGATGATCATTTTATCTATGCGAATGATCGTAGTTTAATTCGTTTTGACGACCAGAAAACCGAAACAAACTTTTTAACGAAATTTTTTGCCGAATAGTTGGAGACGGCTCGTGAGGAACGCTGTGAGTTTATTCCGTATATGGAACCAAAAAAGGTCAACGTCAAAGACGGTCGAATCGTGTCGGTGACCTTCAAAAAAACTGAACAGGTTCAATCAGCAACTTGATTAAATCAATTAAATATTTTCCTCTGTTGATCGAAATTCGCTGCTGATTCAATCATCCATTCCAACGAGACGTCAACGGAAGAAAAATTACGAAACATCGAAGTTCATTATTCCTAATTCAATCATGCATTTCGATGAGACGTCAACGGAATGACAACTCAAAAAACATTTAAAAACAATGACTCAGAGTGCTCAGACATTTTAAAAATTCAGTAAAACATCCCAAAACAGCAGTACAATAATGTTTTAATAAAGAGCATCCTGTGATAATCGTCCTTTTATTGAAGTGAAAATTAAGGATTTGGATGGTAACTGGCACGATGATGATGATCAAACATTAACGCTTAAAGCTGATTACGTGATCAGTGCTTTTGGATCTACACTGGATGATCACGCTGGTGGGTGTTGATTACATGCGATTATCACTATTGTTATTGTTATCATTGCAGTTTATGTTGTTAACAGTATTTTGAATGTCTAATCTGAAACGCCGAGCACAAAATGAAAATATACCAGCAAATAATGAAGAGAATTATTGGTGAAAGGATGTTCTGAACAGGTTGACTTAATCAAATCAGGAGCTTGGATTGAATCAAATGCTTTTCTTCAGTAGATTGAAATTTATTGCTGATTCAATCATGCATTCTAAAGACACGTCAACGAAAAAAATCACGTATTTCCAGTCTTTGCACATGAATTGCACTTTCACAGAACCGGATCTAACTATATTCAGAGCCGACTATGTTTACATCTAAAACGGATCTAAGCATTGCCGACTCTAAACATATTGATTAACACATAATGGTATATCCCAGGGAAGTGGGATATGCTATCATTAACATACATCTGTTTTCAAGCTGTAGATCATGCTCCATAACACCACCACAGAGAATCATGGGTAATCCGAGAGCGCAGATCACTCGGAGCTGACTGATTCGGATTGCTTGATCAATGCAGCAATCTCATATCAATTGTTTCAGTGGTTGAAGCGATGTCACCGA